AGGAATGCCTGCAATTTGCCCTCAAACACTGCCAACTGACTTTTGACAAAGTTCTGGCAGGAAATAACTCTTCAAAATGCATGTTTGCAGTGTTTAAAGATGTCTCTTGGCATGCCAGTATCGTGGATTTCTCTTAATGTACCATCAGAAATTATGTTGTATATTTAGGTTTTTCTGTACTGCAGGCCCATTTGGTGAAGAGAGGTGACTTGATAAGTACGTGTGTAATACTTGACTTACGGGTCATTTACGTGTGTGTGTGTGTGTTTATTAAGGCATGTGATGACTGTGCTGCCAAAAGCAGTCAGTTATTTTGTAGAGTTCAAGGTAGACACTGAATTATACCTTGAATGTTAGTGCAAGGTCTCTTGAGACATAAAATTACCCCAAATTTCTGTTCCACAACACAATGGATTTTCATGCACGATGTTTAGGCTTCCTGCTTGGCAAAGACAGTAGTTTTCCAGCTTTTTTGTTTACAATTTAAACTTAAAATTATTGTGCTTACAGAAGTTACTGCTTCATAATACAAATAGCAGTAGTGCTTTATGTGTTCTTTCATTATGGTAAGGAACAAACTCCTAAGAGAGATCAAATAACTCTGTGAAAAACAGGAGTGCATCCACTGTCATTAGCTGTGCACAGTGCCTTTAATTGGTGTAACTGACAGGTGAATAAGTATTCATTTTGGCTATTAAAAAATCTCACTCAACAAACTGGCTTTGTGCATGTTCCAGTATTTATTAGTAAACCGTGACTTCTGAGATGTTTTATGGCAGAATGACAAAATTTCTGTAACAGCATTGAAAGACATGGAGTGAAGTTTGTCTTTAAAGCACCTCTGTACTGTTCTTTCCTTCTCCATTGTTGAAGATGTGTAGGCAGCACTTAACATCCTACACATTGCTTAGGAGTGAAAACACAGGGTTTCAGTGTTACTGCTACTTAGTGTTAAAACCAGGCATTACCCCAAACTTGCTCTTGTTTACGTTACATTGCAAGGGGGATGATTAATGAAAGATTCAAGAATAAAGCATCATTAAAATGATGAAATAGCGTGCTCCTTTTCTGCCAATGACATGGACTGGCTTTGACTAGTCAGTCTTGGCTACCTGAAACAAGTTAGTGCACACCTGTACAAGTAACCTGCCAGCTAATGTGGGAGAAGTGGCGGAGGGACCGCACTGCAGGTGGCGATGAACGGGAAGCAGGCAGCCACTTTTTTGCCACCACAGCTATTTATTGAGCGCAGACCTGTCTGTAGGTAAAACCAGTGCAGCTTTTATAATAGAAACCTTCAGTTCTAATAGAATGAGAAGACAGGAACCAGAGGTGAATGAGACTGCTAGGCTAGGTTTTTTTTCCTAAAAATTCTACTGCTGACTTTTTTTCACCTTCGCTTCTATCTTTCATTATGAGAGAGAATAGAGCTGTCCTCTCAGGTAGTCTGCTAGTGCTTGCTTCATTTTCTTGGCTTGTCTTAAAAACAGCAGTATTTAAGCTTCTGGCTAAAGATATTTGCAGATGTCACTGACTAAAACAGAAGATGCAAAGGGAAAAATCAAACTGAATTTAAGACCTTTTTGCTCCTTGTCCTATGTTTTGCTTCTGAATGGGGTTGTGAAGGGTGTGCTGAAACCAGCACTCCCTGGAGCGGGAGTGCTGTGCAAGGACCATGGCTTTACTGCAGCTGCCTGACAGTGTTCAACATGACTCGTATCTATCTGCACTCAGTGTCACGCCAACCAGCTATATACCCCAATCATATCTAATAGGGCAAACTTTTGAAGTGGGGACAAGCCCATGCGGGTTAACCCTGCTTTCCAGGCCCCTGTTTTTGCCCAGCACCACTTTTACCTGTAGCATAGGTTGTTACGATTTGCTCCTTATGGGAGGCATGCTCTGGCTGTTTCCCCAGCAACTTAATCTCATGGGAGAAGTTGCCAGGGGCCAGCAGGGCTCCTGACACATGGGGAAGCAGCATGGTGTAGTGGATGCTTTGCTCAAAACAAACGTTGCTGAAATATTTACCAACACCATCGTGTAGCAGAGTTGAACAACCCAACCCATAACCTCCCTGCCCCTCCACTCTTCCAAACTCTGCAAACTTGGCCAGTGGCCAAGCTGGAGAGACAGATTCAGTATATGCCCCACTACCTCCAGCCCCGAAAGACAAATGGCACAGTTCTTGCAAGAAGTCATTAACAAGATGAGACCATTGTGGCTGTGTTGTGTCTTCTCCTTTTTCATGAGGAGAAAGACAGTATGAGCAGGTACATACATCCCTATCAGTCTCATTTTAATGCAACTCATCTATATCATAGAATCATAGAATGCTTTGGGATGGAAGGGACCTTTAAAGGTCATCTAGTCCATGGCCCCTGCAATGGGCAGGGACATCTACAACTAGATCAGGTTGCTCAGAGCCCCATCCAGCCTGGCCTTGAATGTTTCCAGGATGGGACATCTACCACCTCTCTGGGCAACCCGTTCCAGTGTTTTACTACCCTCATTGTAAAAAATTTTTCCGTCTATCTAGTCTGAATCTACCTTCTTTTAGTTTAAAACCATTACCCCTTGTCCCATTGCTATTGGCCCTGCTAAAAAGTTTGTCCCATCTTTCTTACAAGCCCTCTTCAAGTACTGAAAGGCTGCATAAGGTCTCCCTGCAGCCTTCTTGTCTCCAGGCTGAACAACCCCAGCTCTTTCAGCTTTTCCTCATAGCAGAGGTGTTCCAGCCCTCTGACCATTTTTGTGGCCCTCCTCTGGACCCTCTCCAACAGGTCCATGTCCTTCCTGTGCTGAGGACCCCAGAGCTGGACGCAGTACTGCAGGTGGGGTCTCACCAGAGCAGAGTAGAGGGGCAGAATCACCTCCCTCGACCTGCTGGCCACACTTCTTTTGATGCGGCCCAGGATACGGTTGGCTTTCTGGGCTGCGAGAACATGTTGTTGGCTTGTGTCCAGCTTTTCATCTATCAGTACCCCCAAGTCCTTCTCGGCAGGGCTGCTCTCAATCCCTTCACCCCCTTTGAATATAGATCATGGGCTGTCTCTGTATTGGGCACCCATGGTGTAATGTGGTATATTCAGGATGCAGCTGTGAGGACAGCCAGTCATTATGCATTTATGAATAAAATTGAGACATATTTCCTTGCAGCAGCAGAGGTTTGGAGATAGTTATCTAGGAGGCTGATCTTTTCCAGTGTGTGTTGCTGGTAAACAGCAGCCTTTAATGTGAGCAAAGGATTCAGGTGTTGGCAAAAGGATGGATGAAAAGTTACTGAGTGCTTGAGCAAATAGAGCCAAACAGTGCCTGATAATAGGCAAAAAGCAATGTTCTTATGTGGTCCCTCATCAAAGGACTCCGATGTAAGGCAGTTTTCCTTCTGAGGAGTAAGCATGAGGCCAAGGATTTAATACCATGAGAGAGCTGTGGTGTGCATGCTGTTGAGAGTGTAGGTAAACTGTAACCTAGAAGTCTGCAGGTGTTACTAGGAATCAAAGCTGGTCTGATCATGGGCTGCATTTTCTTGGATAGAGCCCCTGTCTCTGACCATGCAGCCTCTCCTTCTCTGCACTCACAACGCACTTACCATTTGTGCATGCAATGGGGGAATGCACATTTGTAACATTCTTCTGTGCCCATTCGCAGTAACTCACAAATATGTTTGGATGTGTATATACACAAGCAGAAGTCAGGCTGATTATCTATGATTTCACCACTACTCTGAAAATGTTATTTCTTTCGTATCAAACTAGGTTGGGTTTCTTATTTATGAACTTCTATTTCAAAAGTGCAGCTGGCCAGAAATCTGAATTTCATGTGGGAAGTTCCCATACTTTCAGACTTTTATTGTGTGCTGGCCAGGGGGGAAGGTTTCTGGCATAGAAGGTTCTGAAGAATCTTAATGCAAGGAGGTCTTTTATTTTTGTTTCGATGTTAAGAAGCAATTCAGTCCCCTGACCTGCTGTTCTTTTCAAATCTGTTGTAATAAGGGCCTCCATTCTCGCCCTTTCTCCTTTTATGGCCCATGCTTCTTAGCTGAGCAACAAATCCATTGAGAGCTTGCCGAGGGTTCAGATTGGTGTTGACTTCTCTTAAAACAAAATCACTTAAAATTAAATTTTCTAATGGAAAACTGGGAGGGGGAAAAAAAAAAAAGATATCTAGATATCTCTTTTCCTGTGGGGGAAACTATATAATAGATATCTTATTTGGGTTTTTTTGTTTGCTTGGGTTTTTTGTTGGTTTTGTGGTTTGGTTTTGGGGTTTTGTTGTTGTTGGTTGTTTTTTGTTTTTTTTTTCCCCCAAAGCTGTTCTTTTCATCAAAACCAAAAAATGAAGAAAGTCCCTCACCAACTCTGTATTATTCTGTATTCTTATATTAATGACTGAGATGTGCTTCAAGCTACTGGGGCAAGCAAGTGGGGAGTAGGCAGCAGTTCTAGATGTTACCACAGGTAATAGTGACAGCGTTAAGGGAAGGTTCAGATAAGCAGTATTAAGGGATATAAGAAAGTGTCCAATTCTAGTTAACATGGCATGTTCCCTGAATTTCAGGAGCAAAAGTGTAGGAAATGTGAAAAGTACTACTGAACGTGTACTATTGCCAAAATACAGGTTGTTTTGATGTTGGTGCCTGTTGTGCGTAGATGAGACAATGACTCTACTGCTTTTTCCAAAACTAAAATAGCAGCCTGGGAGAAGATCTGAACTTTTCTGACTCACTGCTGCAAATTTCTTTCAAAAGTATTTTTTTGTCCATTTTGGTTGAGATTGCCATGTGCACTTAGTAAATGGATTATCGCTAACACTGATAAATGCTCTTCCCTTTGTATTTGTATTAAACTTATGCTGGATTCTCTTGTGTTGTTTTAGGGACATATCTGTATTTGTATTTCTTCACTTAACACTGTCTTCTCCTGCCTTAGACTGCACTGTTTCCTCCTTTTGTTTTTATGTAAGTAAATTTTTTTTGGTCTCAACAATACTTTGCTGATAAGAGGCTAAACACAAATATTTATAACACTGAACAATGTGTGGAGTTTCTGGCACGGACAGTTCTGCCTTCTGGGGTAAAAGCATGTGATAAAGGGGGAAAAATTACCAAACCCAACAGTTTAAGATAATTCTTATTTTTGGTTTACTGTGTCATAGCCATATTAAGAGAACAGGAACCAAAAGTTGGAGATAAGAAAGTAGAGAATTTGTCCCCAAGACCATGAAATGAAGCTGTGCCTGTAGTTCAGTAGAGTCAAGATAAATTAAAGCAGTTTTTAAAAGATGACTCTGGAAACCCCTGGTTTAAGTATTAAACAGTGATACTTAATGTGACCATTCTAGATGGGACTGAGATTTTCTTTTCTCTAATACATCTCTTCTTGTAGATCCTCAAATTAATCTTTGCTTTTCTTCTTCCCCTCATGATTGCTGAGCAGGGAGGTGGCAAGTAGGGTAGGGTACTGCAAGGTATGATTCCCTTTGAATGGCAGAAGGGTAAAATGACCTTTGTGTCTCTGACCCTGGGCTGCCACAGTGGACGAGGTGGTCTGTACCCAGGCTGTGAAAGCTGCAGGAGCAGCAGTGAGGTTCTGGCAGAAGTAGATGCATGAAGTCCTCCATGTCTTTTCCCTATGGGAGCTTCAGCATTAGCAGCCCGCATCCAGAAGCACTTACTGCATTGCGTGAGCCTTTGCACTCACCTTCACCTCCCAGCACTGCTGGGTCCTGGGTAGTAAACTGGCTATATCGTGACCTGCTTGCTCTTCCTTGAGAGTCAATAATGAGTTACATGTCTTTGTCTCATTCTGATGTTTGTATCCCATGTTTGTTCCACATTTCACATACGCTTTTGTCACATGTGAAATGTTTCATACCAAAATATGTGCACCAAAGGCATTTGTGAGGATGCGTCTGCTCCTTCCCATTTGAGGAAACTATAAAGTACTCAGGTAAGCGCAGGAGATGATCCTCAATGTAAGGGAGAGAGGGGCTTTTGTATCTCCACAGAAGCCAAGTAATGCATATTTTAATTAAGAAGAATGACTAGACCTGTCTCCTGGATAAGAAGGAAATTAGTTTGGGGATAAATATTAAATCTGTGTGGATCCCCAGAAGGGCTTCAGACAGGGCATTGGTTAATGCCTTGAGAAGAGGTTCTCTTGTGCAAACAAGTGTATGGGCAAACAGCTAGGTGAAATACTGGGTGTCAGGAAAATCTGTGGGAAGTCTGTTTAAATAAGAAAGACTGTTTTGTTTTGGTTTTCCTCAAGACCTGTTTTCCCACATATCATTCTACAAACTTTTGTCAACATGTTCTTAATTTTTAGATGATGTGGAAGAAAACACATTTTGTTTCCATTTGATCTTGCCTTGAAATAACTCTTAATTAAGCCAGACTTACTGGAAAATATGGTCTTTCTGACCCAAAAAAGTTACCAGTCTGAGCTGAGTTAGTTAACTGGAGTCATACATGCAGTATGTGCAATTACAGCACTTTTCCCCTGCTATGAATCTCAAGGGAAGTACCTCTCCTTAATTAATAAAAATGCCAGAAGGACCATTGCTGTCCTCTGATACAAGGCAGTGAACAGGAAGAGGAGCTGCAGCGATGAGTTTCTGCCACCTCATCCAGATGCATCCCCAAGGGAGTTTTCAAACTAGTGTCCATCCTCTTGAAAGCAGTAAGTCTGACTTCTCATGCATAGCAAGGCATTTCTGAGTTTGAGCACGGGAAAGTCTTTTAGGGAAATGTAAAGTCTTGATATACAACCAGTGGAGAGTACACGATTTCTGTGCGCTATCTCACTGTTAGAAACGTGTGCTTTACTTCTAGTCTGACTGTGTCTATCATCATCTGACAGCCAATGGATCTTGCTTCTGTACGTTTGTTTTCCTGATTGCATATCACCCCTTTATTATGTCTAGACATAAGAAAGTTTTCTGAGGTCACTTACTGTGAGACCTGTTTTCTCATGACCTGAATGCTTTCAGGTTTCTCCTTTGCATCTCCTTGCTGTTTGCGGTGTTTTTGAACCTGGCACTGTGCACAACATTCCAGTAGCAGTGGCTCTGGTGTATTAAGATACCATAGCTTCGTTATGCTCACTGGAGACTTTCCTATTTATAGGTACAGAGATGCATTTTTTCCTTTTGGCAAGATTGTGGCTTTGAATATTCACATGCAGCTGTTTATCCACCTCCTCTATTTGGAATCTCTGCTTCTTAGGAAAGTGACTGCGTCGTTCCTACAGCTACTGAGACACTAAGTAACCTGTGCTCAGCTTAACATCAAAGTGACCCTCCTCTAATTCTGCAGTATCTTCCCACTTGCTGTTCTGCATATGATTTTGGTTTTATCTGCAAGCTTTAACAGTAATTTTAGTAACTTACTGTTTAGTAAACAGTAATCTCAATTGTTTATTTTACTGGAGTAAATAGGGAAATGGAGCATCAGCATCTTCAGAAGGGCTCCAGCAATATGGAAAGCAATAAAACAGTGTTCTGTTTCTACCTAACAGGATACATTTAAGATCCAAACCCAGAGAGCCTTTTTGGATGTTTACCTTGCTGATGGCAGCAATATTAGACTCGATATCCAGACATCGGACACTGCAGAAAGAATATTAGAGGTAATGGGTTTCTAGAATTGTGTTGAAATTTTCCATTTGTGAGAAGCGGGCAAAAATGAAGATCACTTCAGTCAGGAAAGGATAAAATTCCCTATTTGAAGACATACAAGATATCTTCTGTGTTTTTTGAGAAGTTTATTGTACCGGGGTGGGGGGCATTGCTGATTTTGCAGATGAGCTTTTTTGGTTCTTATATTTGTCCATAATTTCTCTCTTCTTAATGTGATGTGCCCTCTGCTTCTATGGCATTTGGCTGTCAAGTTCAGGTTTCCTTCATATATGATAGAATCAGAAAATATATACTATTCCTTATAGGGGCACATTCTTAATTAACCCCCCTTAGCATAGTGTGGGTGAAAGTGCTTCAACACTGTAGTCAGAAATGATGGTCTAGTCTTGGCTTATGTCTGAGCTGGTGCACTGCTGTTAAAACTCACTGTGCAACTGACATGTCTTGTTTTTCTGCATGCCTCTCCTTTGCTTGTGTCCCCTGACGTTTGCTGTGAAACTGTGGGCCTTCCTTTGCCATAGTGGTGCAGTTCTAGCACTGTGGCTCTGGGATGTCTGGAACAGCTGGTGTAATACATACAGTAAACAATTGCTGGTTACATTTTGAAACCAGTAGCAACCAAATGTTGTTTACACAACTGGCTGGCTTGTGTTTGAAACTTTCAGCTGGGGTTCCCTTCTTATGCCAGGAGGGGAGGAGCAGCAGTGGCTCTGCATATTTTTGTGTATTTGCACGTGTGTGCATGAGCAAGGCTGAAGCCTCTTCCTCTGTTGTTCCCATTTCCTAATCTTAACAGCAATAACAAAGCATACACCTGCCAGATGGGTACTCTTTGTCATAGGAATCTGAAATTTCCTCTCATCATACAGAAAATTGTGTAGTGTATTTCTGTTGTGCCTTTGCAATCTGAGTTTTTTTGGAGGTAGCTCTCAGCTGGCCGTGGGTACAAGCGAGCTGAATGTGTATTCACCCTCCTCCTTCAAGCTGACATGGGTTACTCAGGCTGCAGAACACAAGGTATCTGTGCACAATTATGAGTTGGATAACACAGGGTAACCCCTTGTTGGCTTTGTTCTGCCATGGGGTTTGCACCACCTGAGGCAATGCTGGGACCAGTTCTTCCAGGGGAAGGTAATTGTCAGAGCTGGCCTTAGACCCTGCAACAGGAGACTTGTGGGGTGGGGGATGCTGAAGGTAAAAAGTGTTGGGGGTGGCAGGGAGACAGGAATGTTGTTTGGGGAGAGGGAAGTAGGTGCTAACAGGGCGGAAGAAGTAAGGAGACATTTTTAGATAGAAGACTTGCCTAGGGTCCTTGACTAAGGAAAGGATTTGCTAATATATTTAAAAAAAACTACTAACAATTTGGGCTTGATAAACTAGTTAGTTTTGCAGTGGGTCAAGGTAATTTCCAAGCCAGACAGTGGTGTTGTATGTTGCTTTGTATATTGCATTTATAGATGTTTAATGTTTATGTGGCACTTCAAAGAAACAATGACATTTGAAATGCTGCAGACACCATTTCTTCTCTTGTGGTCTTAAAGATGAGATAGGACTTTTGGGAATTATTTAGCTTTTGTCATTGTAAATGTGCCACCACATTCACTGTTCTTTCGCAGTGGAGGTAGATTTTGCAACCATCACTCCCTAACATCCTGGCATTCAGGCAGCATATACCAGCTTGTGCTTTGATCCAAGAAATAAAATAAGTCAAAATCCTACTGAATCAGAGATCTGTTTCACATTCCTAGGAAAATGCCATCTGCTATGCTTAGTATTACGCTACTAAGGGATAACACGTTGAAGCTCTAGCTAATTTCTTAAAGTAATTTGTGGAGACTTCTTAGCACAGAGGCAGACAGAATGAAAGATGGTGGTGCTAATATTCACTTTTTTTGTCTTTTTTGTTTGGACTTCCGAACCTTTCTTCCATTATACCTGGTGTCTGAACTGAGTGTGAGGCAAGTGATTTTTATGTTCTGCTGCCCTCTCCAGTGACAGCCCTGATATTAACAAGTATAAGGAAAACTTCATGAATGTGTTCTTTATTTTAACTTGGAATAATTCTCCCCAACCTATATTTAGCTTGATGTCTACTTTTTTTTTTCCTCCATGCATAAAAACTTGTCTGCTTTTTAAACCAGCTGATACAGCTGGAGAAAACCCTTCTCAACTGTAGAGATAAGTGAATTTACAATGCTGTCACTGTGACACAGAGCTGGAAGTGTTTCCGGATTGGCACCCTTTGGAAGAAGACTGAAAACCGGTACTTCCACCTTGTGCTCAGACAAAGAAAGTCCAGCTTCTCTGACCAAAGCATGACTCCTCTCTGAGATTGCACAGTCTGCCAGATGAGCTATGACAAGAGTGTTCTCAGGGGTGGAGAGTTTTCCTATGGTTGCCACACCACTTTCCTGAGTGAACTCAGGAGATTATGGTCACTGCAGAATCTAGGAATGCTCTGATGGCACTGTGCTCTTAGGTTATGACTGCTTTAATTTATACTTTGATTTTTCAGGACCTAAAATAGAACAAGACAATTGCCCCAATCTGATTCAGCGGTTTCTGTGCTTGTCTCTGCCTGATTTTTCTGTTCCCACTATCCCATCATGCAGCTGGTCCTGCAAATAACTTCTGCATTTTCTGTTGGTGGTACTTCTGCCCTCTTTCAGAAAAGATGTAGAGGGGCCACAGCAAGCTAAAAACAATCCAAATGTTTATCCAAATGGATAGGATTTTTCATCCTTATGCGCTGTCAATAATGAAAGCTCAACAGACCTCAAGTCTGCTCTTGTCAGAAGCCTTCACACAGAACTGTAGAACCCTACAAGTAAGACTGGTGCTTTCAGTAAAGGGGCAGGACTTCTAGATATTTTCTAGAAAAATAAGAGGACTCTATCAGCTTGGAAAATAAACAAATCCTGTAAAAATACATATTTGTGATGCTCATGAGCAATGTCGTTAGCTCAGAGCACGCAGTGCTTACTGTACAACAGCATTTGAGGATATAGTAGTAAAGATATGGAATAACATGGCAGATGCCTTGCATTAGAGGGTACTTAAATGCATGGCAGAGTGGAAAACGTTTTCTATTTTATTATGTTTTTATGTTCCTTTGGAACGTATGAAACTCCTCACAAACTCAAATGCTGCAATAATGGGAATGGTTATATTTGCTTTTAAACGGGTAGTTAAATGGGACGTAAAAGAAAATTTAAAAACAATTAAGTTACATTAATAGGTATTGAACATTTCTTCCTTATTGATGCTAATGGACAGCTAAGCTTCTGACCTTCTCTGTTTTTAAAGGTTATATCGTGCAAGATGGGGCTACCAAGAGAATTAATAAAATATTTTAGCTTATTTTTCTTTCAAGATCATGATGATGGAGCGCTCTCTGGTAAGTTTTACAAGGTTCTTAACTTAGCCCTCCCCTGGATGTGTGTGGGTTTTTTTTGTTGTTGGCTGCAGTGACAGAACCTGGAGTCTGTGCAGAGCCTGCATGAGCCTGCTCAGGCTGAAAGACCCATCCTGTCTGATAAACCTCCTCAATCCCTCTCCCCACATGGCTTGGAAAGAGGGGTAGTGGGGGAGAAAGGATGGCCACAGAAAACGTG